TATAGCTGTATACCCAGAATATATAAGTTTTAGATATATAACACTAATGCTATTTCATATAGTATCAGATTTTTTACTCCTCTAGGAGCTAAATTAAAAGAATCACTTGACAATAACAGCAAAATGCCAGAGCTGTACTTATAATACTCCAGACAACAACATATTCTCTTGTGTATAGCCCTAACTATTGTATCATACACGTGGAGGGACGCTAAAAAATGCGTAGTCAGCAAGTTTCGCCCGATCGTGTTTAAACTCGCCCGCGTGACGTCATTGCATATAATTATGACGTATGTTAATGAGTGACGTCATTACTCCTTCTCAATTGTACGAGTATTAATTATAAATGAGGTGGTGGACACCCACCACCTCAAAACTCCACCACCTCACACTCCACCACCTCACACCACCTCATCCACCACCTCAAAAATCCGGATCGAAAACCACCTATTATACTACTCACACCCACGTTTCTACTTAAGCAGCATCTTTTTTCGTTATTGTCTACCACCTATATTATATATATATATATATATATATATATATATATATATATATATATATATATATATATATATATATATATATATATATATATATATATATATATATATATATATATGTATATACACTTGGAAAAAGTAAAATTTTTACTTTCTAGACATGAAATTGACATATATTGGGTGCATTATAACACAATTAGTCAGGGTTCTGAAAAGGATGATTATGGCTACTACGTGTTCCAGTATTGTTGCGGTTATGTATACAGCCCAAAGTCATCTCGAAACAAGTAAGTTGAAATTATCAGGTAGAGTGTAACATACTGAAAACTGCATATTAACTGCAGATACACTAGTATTACAGGCTAAGTTTCACAACTCGCAGCTTAGGTTTGCTGCCCAACTTATGATATTTTTACGAGGCACCACAAGGTACCTGGCACTGAGCAAGGAAAGTTGAGAAAATTCCCATCATTGGAAACTGCCTTTTACAATATCTAAATTGCAAATATAAACTAAATAACTTGCAGATCAGGAAATTGAAAGTTTCCAAAATGGCCCATAAGAAAGATGGAAAAAAACTGATTAACACTAATTTTTACACAATTTACAGACAATTTTCCATAAAATGGAAAATCACACAATCACGCTTGGCACGTCCTTGTACTGTACATATAATTGAATTAAAATATAGTGTTTCTATACATTAATTTTTGTTACTTTTATATATCTGTAGGCACTACAAGCCGAACCATGCTTCACACTCAAGAGTTGAGGAGACTACACCAACTGTACTTGTCAATCAACCTCAGAAAACATTACAGGACTACCTATTTAACTATCACAACACTAAACTGTTGTATGGCTTAGTATTGATGGAGTTTAGCAGCAGTATTGAAGAAGGTGATGGTGATAGGCTCTTTGATTTATATAAGTAATGCCTTTTACTATACAAGAGTGGAGGAAATACCAAATATAGTTATGTTGTTCTACTACACTTGGTAAAAATAGAATGCTTGTTGTCACCATTTGAAGCTCATCGGCTCAAGTGGAATCGCTTTTACAATAAAAACGGAGGAAATGGAAAAAACATTCCACTTGATCTGAGGAAAAAACAACTAAATAAAGTACTCAAGACAATGTGGGGAGCCCTAGGCTCAAACATTGATGAAACAAATGCATCTCGTGTTGCAAAAAACACTCGAGATGATGGACCAGATGATCGAGTCCATTGATAAGGATTGCAATTTTGGTCAAAGGCAAGGTCGTGGAAATATCAAGAGCGAAGAAGCTGCTGTTTTGCAGATCTCTTCAGATTTAATGGAAAAACAGGTATTTAAATTAACTCCAGGAAGAAAAGTACATGCATCCTTTCCAACATTTAGTGGGAATCTCTTTGAAGGGATAGATTACAAAGATTTGCACAAGTGGATGAAACAGCATGTTGAGTTGTGGGCATCAATATATGAGAAATGAACTTTTGCATATTTACATCAGATTATATGATTAATTTAACCCATTAAGCTCCAGAGCTTCCTCATTGACAAGTAAAATCGTCTGGCGTTTGTCAAAAAAAAATACGTAGGGCGCACTGGGGCGCATTGCGGCTTAATGGGTTAACTAGAGACATTGTTAAATTTTGTGGTTAACCCATTAAGCTCCAAAGCTTCCCCATTGACAAGTAAAATCGTCTGACGTTTGTCAAAAAAAAAATAAGTAGAGCGCACTGGGGCTAAATGGGTTAAGCTAATTAAGAAATTTGAATACAGTAAAACCCTGAATATAACCTATAGATTTAAAGAACTTATTAGGCTAAAATTCTGTATCTACCGCTACCCTCCTTAAATAAGAAAAACATTTAAGCTAGCATTTTATTGCAGGCTCTTATCATTCTTGGAGTTGGAATTAACATTGATAGAGTATGTAAAAAAGTTCCAACAAAGTAATGAGTAGAGTTGGTATATTATGAAATGTGCATTCTGTCATTTATGCATAAGAGAAACCTTTTGAAGGACTTGTGTAGCTTCATTTCATGTTAAGTACAATTACATAAGACATAAGTCGAGGTTCTCATATGTGAGGTTTTACTGTAAGCTTAAATATTTTAAATATTTGTAATTAAGCCTTGACACCTAAGGGTTAAAGACATAAGAGTCTCATGCATGCAATTGTCTAAGCTGGTAAACAGCCAATATAACTAGCTATTATCACTGTCACTAACCTCTGAGTCAGATGATGATGAATTAATACTACTATCCAATCCAACTGCAGAGAATGGAGTGAGATCGAGTAATTCGTCGATGATTTCCAACTCTTCAAATGAAGGAAGTAATGAAATATCACCAAACAGTTCATCGAAAATCTCCAGGATTTTTAGAGCACGTCGCATTGTAAATATTGGATAATTTGTTATAATATCCTTGACGGTAAAAATTGTATGGCAACTTTCAACAATTTCATCAACTACTTGAGTGTAAAATTTTACCTCAAGCTCATCACTTGTATTTACTATTGTCCAAAATAATTCCATTAATGAATCTCTTACATCTCGCCTATCTTCCAAGGAAACACTTCGGACAACATGGGGGTGATCTGAATTCTTACCATCTGCAGTAGATTCAAATGGCAAGTCAGTTGTAGAACTATGCTGACACATGTCACAGGAACAAAGATTCATGCAATTTGAACAACAATTATGCTGTGGCGTTAATGATTCTACTTGCTTGTCAAATGGCAGTAAGCTGGCAACTCTATAACAGGCGGTTGATTTTACAAAGTCCTTCACATCATCCTCACAGTGACTGAGTTGCTGACCAAAGAAATAAGTGATGGCATAGGACTGCTTACCATCCCTTCCAGCTCTTCCAATTTCTTGATGGTAATCCAATAAAGATCTTGGTGAACCCCAATTTATAACATAGCGAATATCGGGAAAGTTCACTCCCATACTGAGTGCAGTAGTGGCAATAACAATTATCCTAGTTGACAAATGTTCAGTACCCTTCATAGCTTTTACAATTCTGTCTTTTTGAGAATCCCAAGTAGTGGAATGGTAAATACCAATAAGGCAGTTATCAGCTGTCTGAACGTTTGTTGGATGAAATGCATTATCAGCCAGGTTGAGAAGAATGTAATTGCTTATGGTTGCAATGTCATTCATAGTATTGCAAAAAAATAGCGTTTTAGGAGTATCCAAACCGTTATTACGTACAAGTTCTATCAACCAATTAAGATGAGAGAGCATACTTATCTTTGAACACTTGAACACTGACATCCGGATATTTTGACGATTCGGACTCACATGAATATCTGTCTGTTCTTTAAGAGACAAACTTGAAACAATTGCTTGCATCGTTGCTTTATCAGCTGTGCCAGTTAATGCCAAAACTGGTGTTCCTTAATATAATTAACAAAACAATGTATTGATTTCTTATTGTCTACAAGTACATACATGGTACATACAGTACATACAGTTGTACTGTAAGTCAATGAGGCAAGTCAAAATTGATCAGCATACCCACCTAGTAATGTATACAGCACAAAGAGATTCACACTAAGTTTTGGGTATTGCTATAAATAATAAAAAACAAATATAGGTAATACTATATTAACCTATTAACTGGCAATGTACCCTTAAATCTTACTCTGTCTATTATCCCAGAAGAGGAGAATTTGCAAGTTAACATAATACTGTAATAGTACATTTTTTAATGATAGTAACAAAGAGAAATGTTTTACAGGAATACCATTCATTGTATAGTACGTCTTATTATAGTTTACCTTCTTCTCGATTTGTCTCTATAAATAGATGATTGCTAAAATTTAGAAAGGATAATTTATTAAGTGACCCTGAAACAACATTGTATCGAAATCTAGAGTGACATATTACTTTTCAAACTCTCTATTAAGTCCCCCAGGGGACTTATGCTTAATCATTTCAGGTCCTATGGAAGGGGGGGGGGAGCTTATTACAGACGAGGGTTTATTTGATGGAGGGGGTTATTTAGTTACCCACAAAATCTTAGATAATTCTCTGCAAAACCGAACAAAATGCAACATGGAGAATAAATATTTTGTGGTGTTCCACGAAACAAGATATAATTACATTATATAAATATTCAAATGATTTTTGTATCAAAATGCCATATGATATACCTCATAGAAGTCCAAGTTTCGACGGTATGCGACTCGTCGATAACCAGCAACTCAATACTTTCATTCAAAATGGAATTATTCTTAAGAAGGTTCCGAAATGTGGGCGACAATACGTCTTCCGCACTGGCAAACATAAGTTGTTTTGGACGTAACGTTGAAGTTTCTTCATCTAGAAAGTCCTTTAATCGACAGGCAGTGATACCGAGATCTTTTGCTTCCTTTATTTAGTCATCGACGATACTTAAGAGCGGGCAAATAATGAGGGCAGAAGCACACACACTCCCTTGATGTACTCTCTGTTTTGCCTTGGATAGAACAAAGTATTGATAAATCAAACTTTTCCCGAATCCGGTCGGAAGCACTGCTAAAACATCCTTTTTTAGCAACAGATCAATGAGGGCTTTTTTCTGTTCACGTTTCAACAAAATCCTACCATGCAAGTCTGAAGAAACCTGATCAATTGTATCTTCGAACACTTCAACTCCTTCGGCAGTCGCCATTTTTTATTACTCTGCATTATATATTGGCGGGAAATAGGATATTAATATGGTTAATTAATTACCGATCGCCTCAGCTAGCCAATGGGAATTTAGCCGGCGGTTCGGCCGGCGAAAATCGAAAACATGGGGTGATGGTTGCAGGCTGTCCCCAGTGAACTCTATATATATATCTATCTGGAACGATAACATTCAGTCATTTGATTGTGAAAACAATGAAGCCTTGATACCAGTCTTTCACGCGGATTGGACGTCAGTCTCAGTCCCTGGTAATAAATCCATGTCCTATATACGCGAATATGAGACACACTCGCTCTATATTCACATGTACACCGTTATCCACTGTTATCTAGTGTCATCTACCGTTATCTACCGTCATCTAGTGTCATCTACTGTCATCTACCGTCATCTAGTGTCATCTAGTGTCATCTACCGTCATCTAGTGTCATCTACCGTCATCTAGTGTAATCCACCGTCATTTACCGTCATCTAGTGTCATCTACCGTCATCTACCGTCATCTAGTGTCATCTACCGTCATCTAGTGTCATCTACCGTCATCTAGTGTCATTTACCGTCATCTAGTGTCATCTAGTGTCATCCAGTGTCATCCAGTGTCATCTACCGTCATCTAGTGTCATCTAGTGTCATCTACCGTCATCTACAGTCATCTACTGTCATCTACTGTCATCTACTGTCATCTACCGTCATCTACCGTCATCTAGTGTCATCTACTGTCATCTACTGTCATCTACCGTCATCTACCGTCATCTAGTATCATCTACTGTCATCTACTGTCATCTACCGTCATCTACCGTCATCTAGTGTCATCTAGTGTAATCCACCGTCATCTAGTGTAATCCACCGTCATCTACCGTCATCTACCGTCATCTAGTGTCATCTAGTGTCATCTAGTGTCATCTAGTGTCATCTACCGTCATCTACCGTCATCTACTGTCATCTACTGTCATCTACTGTCATCTACTGTCATCTACTGTCACTTACCGTCGTCTACCGTCATCTAGTGTCATCTACCGTCATCTAGTGTGATTTACAGTCATCTACTGTCATCTACTGTCATCTACTGTCATCAACTGTCATCTACCGTCATCTACTGTCATCTAGTGTCATCTATCGTCATCTAGTGTCATGTAGTGTCATCTAGTGTCATCTAGTGTCATCTACCGTCATCTAGTGTCATATAGTGTCATCTACCGTCATCTAGTGTCAT